GGATCCCCCCAAAATCCTGCGGGACCCCCCCCAAAATCCTGCGGGACCCCCCCTCACCTGGAGCCCCCGGGCGGGGCTGAGCTGCCCTGGGGGTGCCATGGGTGGGGTGGGGGCTGTGGGGACACGGAGGGGACCTGGGGGGTTTTTAGTGCCCCGGACCCCGCCCCCTCCCCCCCCCTCCCCGGCCCTGCCCCTGGGCCGGACCCGAGGGGGGGCCCCTAAAGCCGGGAAATCCCGGTGGGATCTGGGGGGGCCAGCCTGGGGGTCCCTGTAACGCCCGCAGGGGGTCCTTGGGGTCCCCATGGCCCCTGCAGCGTGTGGGGGGGGCTCTGCAGGGTCCTTAAAGCGTTTTGGGGGGTCCCTGCAGAATTTTGGGGTCCCCATAGCCCCTGAAACGTGTGCGGGGGGGCTCTGCAGGGTCCCTAAAGCGTTTGGGGGGTCCCTGCACAACTTTGGGGCCCCCCAAAGCTCCCGGAGCTCATCTGGGAGGCCCTAAAGGCCCCTTGGGGGTCACCCGGCCCCCGCAGAGCTTCTGGGGGTCCCTCACGGACATTTTGGGGTCCCCAATGGCCCTTTTTTGGGGGGGGGGGGTGTGTCCCGCTGGCCCCGCCCCTCGTCACGAGGCTGCGCCCCGCCCCCTCCCCGTGTGATGTCACAGGGCGGGATGAGGGGAGGGGGCGGGGCGGGAGATCCCGCCAAAAGCGGCCTCGCTTCTCAGGCCCCGCCCCCGCGCCCGCCGATTGGTCGGCACGCGGAGGCCGCGCCCCCTCCCTCCGCGCCGCGCGGTGATTGGTGGATGAGGCGGCGCGGTGACGTCACGGGGCGCGCGGCGCGGCGGTCCCGGAAGCGGCGGTGGCGGCGGGAGCGGGAGCGCGGGCGGTGAGCGCGCGCGGGGGGGCGGGGGCGGGGCCGGAGGGGGCGGGGCCAGCGGGGGAGGGGGCGGCCGGGGGTCGATCGCGCGGGGGGGCGGAGCTTTCGGAGGGGGCGGGGCGACCCCGGGGTCCTGGGCGGCGCTAAAGCGCTTGGGGGCGGGGCTTGGTGCTTGCGGGGGCGTGGTTTCATTGCAGGGGCGGGGCCAGATGTGAATTTTGGGGGTGTTCCGGGGTGCGGCTCTGTGGGGGGCGTGGCTTGGTCTCAGTGGGCGTGGCCTGGGATAAGAGCACCAAGGGTGGGGCTCACCGGGTGGGGCTGGGGGCGTGGCCACAAGGTGTGGATTAGGGGCGGGGCTTAGCCACGCCCCTGCTGACCCCACCCCAATTTGCCCACAGGTAGCCAGGAGCCCCCAGGCCGGCCCTGGTGAGGGTGGGGCGGGGCAGGGCGGGGCTGCTCAGGTGTGCAGCCCCCAGGTGTGGCGGGGATGGACCCGGCCACGGCGTCCCCACGATGTCACCGGAGCGCGGAGGATGAGGAGGAAGATGTGACATCACCCGTGTGTCACCCT